CAGAGACACACTGACTCACACTAAACACTGAAACAGCAAACAGTCCATTTCTTCAAATATGCTGCACAGAGAAAGAGCTTCTCAACTACTGAGGAATATTAATACATTGTGAATTTAAAAAAGAATGAATCTAATAGAAATATAGAAATTAAATACAAACGTTTTTTTTATTTTATTTTGGAGAACAATTATAATTAAGGCTCTGGTTTGTAGTATCAGTTCCAGCAGATCATGAAACACAGGTCAATGGAGAAACTGCTCCTCAGTGTGAGAGACAGGTGCTCAGTTACCTGCTGTTTTCTCTCTTCTTTCTACTCCAGCTCACACAGAGACACACTGTGGACAACAAAGTTGAAAACAAACCAAACATGAGGACCAAACCCCACCCCGGGGTAGAGGGGCTCTGTGAAGGAGGCCTGGACTCTGTGCAGGAGGGTCGCTGTGTCCCCAGAGACGCTGTAGAAGGACAGAGTTCCAGCCCTGTGGTCCACATACACCCCTATCCTGGAGGAGGGAGGGGCAGCTACCGCAGTTTTCTCCTTATTGTGCCAGAAGGAGCAGCTGGACCCGGAGCAGCACAGACTCCAGGACTGGTCGTTCAGTCCCAGGCGACAGTCATCACCCTCCCCTTTCCTGCTGAGTCCTTTATATGTGACCCCTATATCAATATCAATCCCTCTCCACTCCATCTCCCAGTAACAGCGAGTCCCGGACAGCCCCTCTCTGCACAGCACCTGCTGCCAGTGGTTGAATCTCTCGGGGTGATCGGGGTACTGCTGGGGCTCCCTGCTCCAGGTCACCCTCCTGTTCCCCTCAGACAGACAGAGCTGTCTGTGCGCTGTGTTGGGGTCCAGTGTGAACTGACAGGCATCTGATTGGAGAGAAGAGCACAGTCAGAGGACAGGCAGGCAGAGCAGACCAATCCCTGAGCAGATCTCCACTGGAGTCCCTCCCCCACAGCCCAGTAAGATACACACTGGGGTTTCTGATTGGAGAGAAGAGGACAG